GGGGGGTTGGTTGTTCAGGGATCCATGAGCCAAGGAATAGGGGTTTGGTTGTTGATGTGAGGAATCTGGTTTGTATTGACATTGGTAGGCTGATAGCTTCTGTCCAAATTGAGACAGAATGTCTGTCCAAGGATAGTAAAAGCCAGTGTTTAGTGAGTGCTTCCTAAGTACCCACGTGAATTGACTTCACATTTGGTGGGTCCAGGTGAGCCTTCAGTGTTATAAATCCTCATGTAAGGTGCCCTTGGCGTTTTTCAGGTGCAAGTCAGGTTGCACTCACGATCCTCATGTAGAAAGCTATCTTAGATAGAAATATTTGCCAAGGCATGTGAGTTTTCTGCCTTTTAAAGTCCCAAAGAAGTGGTTTTAAGTATGTCTTAAGGTGACATCCTCTTTCACTTTGTAGATCTAATGAGATGTACCATCAGTGCTTGGGGATTTTGCGGGGGTTGGTGGGGGGTGATATATTTTTATAATCTTCCTTCTGAAAGGTTATAAGTTCTTTAGACTAGAAAGGGGAAACCTTCAATATTCACTAGAACTCATCAATTCACAGAGAAGCGCTGTTGAATTTGCTATATATCATTAGCTCAGAATGCCCTGTTGAGAATAAAAACTAGCGATGAGTCATAAAGTCAGAGCTTTTATTAATGACAGTCTGCAAATCACCTTGTCATTTTCTTATTCAGTCTCCGTTTTATAATCCTGATGTGCTTTCAGTTAACACAGAGTGATTATTCTTTGACAGAAATAATTTACTTCAGTTCCCCACGCCCCCCCACCCCCCACCCCGTACTTTCTTTAAAGCATTAAGGCCACCTGAAATATAACACTTGATTGAGGCACTTTAAAAAAAAAAAAAATTGCATTGGATAATGAGCAAATTACTTTTAGATATAAGAGTTCTTCTGTCCTCGCTTGGCAGAAATGCTTACTGTGCTAATCCAAACAACCCAGCACCATTGAGGCCCCGGCTGATCCTCAAGGGTTCCCTCTGGCCGATGTCTTATTCATATTGATAATAACGTTATAAGCATGAACTGCTAGTTTCTTAGGTTGTAGTAAATGTCAAGAAACTCACCGCACACCATGAAAGGCTTGTCTTTTCCACATCTGAGCGGTTACCTGCCACCCTGCCCTTGCTTCCATTTACTCCAGCGTCTCTCCCTCTGGGAGGACCCGTCCTCACCTCAAGCTGATCTTGTGCACACCAGGATGGGCGGTGCTGTCCGCCTGCCCTCCCGTTCTCTCCTTTCCCCATCACCCAGCTCACCTCCTGTCCCTGCTCTGTCACCGACGGCACCATTACTGAAGCTGCAGCCCTGGGAGCTGAGGAGGACTCAATTCTCCGCCTTACTGTTCATCTCCCCACAGTTACCACATCCTGATGACTCTTCTTGGGAAATGCCTTTCGTTTCTTTCCTTCCCTCCCTAGCCTTTGTCCAGCTTGATGTGATAGGACAGGCTCATGGCAGTAGTGTTCCTCCTCGTCTCCCCTCCATCCTTCCATATACCTCCGTTGTTCGGCTTCCTTCCTGGATACCATCTTTATTTCTGTCACCCTACAGTCCACACAGTAACTCCCCGGGAACGGCCAAGTCAGAACTAAACTCCTGTCCATCTGGCTCACCAGAGCCTCGGCAGACCACCACCACCATTTTCACCGACCCCACACTAAGCAGCCTTTTTCTTCTTGCAAGTGGAAGTTTCCTTCTTAAAAACAAGATGTCGCTTGTTCTCCTCACCAGTCTGCCTCCCTCCCTACTGGTTGTTTGTATTCCTCTTCTCTCTCTGTTCCCAGCTCTGGCTGTCATCTTGAGTTGCCTGCCCTCCCACCGCCTCATCCCCCAGAGAGCTGTCCTGTCTCTGACACCACCCTAGCCACCCACTGTCTCACACCCGTGCTCAAGATGCAGTTCAGTGCTCGCTTGAGGGCTCTTGTGTTTTGGGTCCCCAGCCAACTTCTCACTTACCTCTGCTTACATGTTACTACTTATGTTTTTATATGATTGTGTCTTAAGGGCAGAAGTGACATCATCTTCCTGCCTGTTTCTCCAGTGCCTTGCAGGGTATCTGGCACATATGCAGAGCATAATATATTTTCGTCAAATAAACATTCCCAGCAGACGTGGATCATGACTTGGTTTTTGTTGTTTTCCTTAGATCTCCCCTACCATGAGATTGGACACAAAATAAGTAGGCCAGGGTTATTTGTATCACAGAAGTTTTCATAGAATATTTTGTTTCCTCCAGACATGACAGTGACAATCATTTACTAAAGGAATATTCTGGAGTTAGATGAACGATTAAAGTCAATTATAAGATCACTTTGCAAGTCGCATTGCTGCATAGCACAATCGATAATAGCTCAAGAGCTATTGTTCAATGAAATAACTATGCTTCTCGTTACTTTCAAAGCTAAGTAAGCTTTTATCTGTTCTTCCCTTTTCAGAATGGGTAGCTTGTGTGAGGTCTAACTTTTTGGTGTTATGCTACCTCCATGATGTGAGGAACGTTCTGCAGCTCCACGACCTGGCCACGGGCGCTCTCCTCAAGACCTTCCCACTGGAGGTCGGCAGTGTTGTGGGGTACAGCGGTCAGAAGAAGGACACCGAAATCTTCTATCAGTTTACTTCCTTTTTATCTCCAGGTGAGAGAGCCTTTTCACCAATGTTATTCAGCTTAAAAATCAGACTAATGTTTGGGTTTCTTTTGGGAAATGGAAATGTAATGCTGTGTTATTGAAAATCACATATGCTGTATTATAGCCAGAATTACATAATGAGAATAAAACAGTAAAATAGATGCTTAGAACACAGGGAAATGTGAGTGCCTAAAACAGCAAACTCATTCATCTTATATCCTGAGTCTGTGTTCTGGGGACAGGACCAACCGTTGTCCTAGGTTGATTTAAAAAAATTAGTATGAACAAGTATAACCTTAGATTCAAACTTTGGTCTATATGGATCAGGACACACGCAGTGCAGATTAACTTAAAAACATAAAATAAAAATCTGTAGTTCCATCTGACATTAAAAACTTGTTTTCTAAAACAGACTGAGAGTGATGTTTGTTGTTGTTAAACCAAATTAAAATATAATTCTGAGGGTATAGTCTTACATCATATGGAAAAAAACTTGTTACTGGTTTCAAGGCAAAAAGAAAAAAAAAAATGCTTATAAATTGTGATACTGCGTTCCATGGTCTGGGTTGATTTTCCCCAAAGTAAACATAGTTGTCTTTTTAACTTTTTTTCAGTTGGTCACGCTCATTTTGCTGTTTTGGTCTTTCCTGCTTCTCCACTTGGCTGCACGGTTTTTGTTGTAACCACAGCCACACACATACTCTGATTTGTCCCAGGAGCCTGGCTCTGTTGGCAGCTTGCTGCTGACCGAGCACACCCTATCTTAAAAGCAATCTGGCTGAAAAAATTTCCGCACTTTCCTTGTTTGTATTTCGAGCTCCTTCACAGCCCTGTCTGGTTTTGCGGCAATGGTTCAGTCCCTGGCAAAGTAAGCAGACGTAGGGGAGAAAGCTAGACAGGTGCCGAAGTGGTTCTTCCTCGTGGGGTTCAGCCAGATGACAGTGATGGTGCATGTACTTGTGTGTGTGTGTGTGTGTGTGTGTGTGTGTGTGTGTGTGTGTGTGCATTTGTGTACACACGTGCGCACCTCAGAGTCACGGAGCAGGCAATCACAAGGAGTCTTCTCGTCGTGACAGCTTGCTGTCAGGGATATTAAAACCAAAAGAGTGATGTTCTTCTATAAATAGATCTGCTGGTATACCCGGAACACCTAGCAAGCTTTACTGTCCCATGTGCCTTTCAGAGGACCCAGGGGGGTGAGGAAAAGTGCCCACAGCCCTGTGGAAACCAGGGCCAGTGCCAGGAGTCAAACTGACAGGTCAGGAGCCCTGTGTCGGGGAATCCTGCATCACGTCTGTCCTGCCCTGGGGCCTGAGGGTACAGTGGTTGCCAGTGAACAGGAACCAAGAAAAAAATCCGTTTCCTCCAGATTGCCGTTCTGCAGGCTCTGTGATGTATTTCCCCAATTTACGCTGGTTCCAGAAATTTTACTTTGAAAATCTCATAGCTTAAACAGTTTAAACGGACAAAGGGCGATGAGGAGAATGGGGCAGGGGTGACTCACCCATTCTTAATAAAAGCCAGAGTTCCCAAAGGCCAGTAAACGTCCTTCGGTGACTCCATGTGACCATTTATTTCAGGAACAAGTTCATCACTACCTGGCGGAGAGAGGGCTCATTGTCCTAGAGTAAAAAGATGGGTTCTGTGCCAAGGAATGAAATACTAGCTGCGACTATGGCTGTGAAGTTTGAGAGGTTGAATGGTTCTGGACCGCTGGGCAGTTTCTCGACAGGCTTTGTTATTGTAATGCCTTGTTCTTGCCCTTTATCTTTTCTTACTCATTTTGTCTCCATCTTTCTCTTTTCTCCCCTTAATGCAATTTGATACCTAAAATGAGAGAACAGGGCTTCCAGACTTAGGCCTTCTGGTCCAAAGTAAAAACGGCCCATCAGATCAGTAAACTGGATCTCTCGAAAGCAACAATTATCGGCGTGTGTGCGTGTGTGTGTGTACACACACACACACGCACACACACACACACATATACATACATACATACATACATACATGCACATACATACCAGCTCAGAGGCTGTCTTTCCCTGGTCTCTGAAGATTAGCTATCTACTACTGTGGTGAACAACAGAGATACTAAATTATAAGTAAAGCCCTGGGGCCAAAATTAACTATGACTCCAGCTGTTTAGGACATGGGTGCATCTGGCCACTGCGCACGAGCTGACTTTGTTTCTCCTGGAGGCTCATGGTGAAGACTGTGTGTCTTGAGCCCAAGCTGCTTAGGACTTTTGTACCTTGAGTCAAACTTGGGAGAGAATGAGGATACAGGGCAATTTGGAACACGATGCACTTATTCCCTCTGGCTCAAACCACTTAGTGGTTTGTGCTGATTAATTCTGTATTCATGGAACGTCAGACGGTTGTCTAAGGTTAGCTCCAGACAGACTTGCACGTTGTAATAATCCAGTACAGCAAGTCCGAGGTGCATGGGGGTAGGAAACGGGTTGAGCAGAGAAGCCTTGGGAAGGGCAAAAAAAATTTAAGATTTAATTTTTTAGAGCAGTTTTAGGTACACAGCAAAATTGAGGGGAAGGTACAGAGATTTCCTGTATTCTTCCTGCCCCCACATGCACAGCCTCCCCCATCATCATCTCCCACCAGAGTGGTACAGTTGTCACAGTTGATGAACTTATACTGACACATGGTAATCACCCAAAGTCCCTAGTGTTCATTACGCTTGACTCTTGGTGTTGTACGTTCTGTGGGTTTGGGCAAATGCATAATGACATGTATCCATCATAATAATATCCTATAGAATATTTTCACTGCCCTAAAAATCCTCCCCCTCTTCACCCCTCCCCCAACCCCTGGCAACCACTGATCTTTTTGCTGTCTCCACAGTTTTGTCTTTTCCAGACTGTCATATGGTTGGAATCATACAGTAGTATGCAGACTTTCCAGACTGGCTTCTTTCACTTACTACTCTGCATTTAAGATTCCTCCGTATCTTTTCTTGGGCTTGATTGCTTATTTCTTTTAGCCCTGAATAATATTCCATTGTCTGGATGTACTGAGGTTTATTTACACATTCATCTTCTGAAGGACATCTTGGCACCTTCCAAGTTTGAGCAGTTATGAATAAAGCTGCTATAAACATCCGTGTGCAGATTTTTGTGTGGACATAAGTTCTCAGCTCCTCTGTGTAAATACCAAGGAGTGCAGACATTTTCAAGACTTGTTTTAGTTTACATTTATGTTTTTTTTTTTTTCTTTTAATAACTTTAAAACCCACCCTACACAGGTGGGTCAGTATAGATCATCTTTTCCAAAGTTCTTTTGCCCTCTCTGTACACACCAGTGTTTCAGAGCCTTGGATTTTTCTTTCACAGTTTCCCCCAGAGTCATTCCTTCCTCTTAACTCCTACTCCCATTTCTTTTACCCCTTTACATTTATTTTGGATTATTGGGGATATATGAGCTAATCATCCCCGCCTCCTTCCTGTTACTAGAATGGCTTTGTTAAACCACTGCTTTCATCAGGAGACCCATCTCCTCATGTCCAGACACATCCTCTGGCCTCAGGGGACTTCTTCTATAACCCAATTCTCTTTCACCCTGAAATGTCGAAATTTATTTCCTAGAGATCACCTAACCAGTCCTCTCTGGTTTATGATTCCAAGATGACTTCTCCAAACCCCACCTTCCTTGGGCTTACCAAGCCAAATCAGACAGGACACAAAACATCATTAGATTATAGCGATTCACATTATGTGAATGTGCCATAGGCTAACCTTGGGGTAACCCAGATGGATCTGTTAAAAGGAAGTGTTGATCAAATATATTAAGCACTGGTACCTTCAAGTTTAACCCAGTCTCCTCCCAGGTGCCACTTTGGCACAGGACCGAAGGATAGAAGTCAGGTATTTGGCATGATTTCTCTGAACAGTAGTAGCCAGCCCCTGTTGCCTACTTGTTTCATTCTGCTGTTAGAGGATTTGATATAGTAGTTTTTCCAGATAAAAGGCATTTTTTTGTATTATTTATTTTTTTAATGTTTATTTTTGAGAGAGAGAGTGTGCATGCAACTGGGGGAGAGAGAGAGAGGGAGACGGAGGGTCTGAGTGGGCTGGGCAGTGACAACAGAGAGCCCAGTGAGGGGCTTGAACTCATGAACCCGCTTAACTGACTGAGCCACCCAGGGATCCCCAGATAAACAGGAGCTTAGAGTACATTTCCTATTTATTGTCTTTCACAAAGGAATTTGCATTCTAATACTTTGGTGATTTGTCTAAGGTCACTGGCCCAGCAACTGTCAGAGGCGGGAATCCTGGCTGCCAGGTGCTTTCTCATTCACTGCAGTACAGGTTGCAGTGATACCAGAGTGAGGCAGGTGCTCAAATAGCACATGCTCGGTCTGCAGTCATTTTTGTTAGTTATTTGGTTGTCTGGGGTTTTTTTTTCAAGGATTTGGACTTTTTTGTGTGTTTTGAGGAAGGGAAGCAAGTACGGATCAAGAAGCTATTCAAAAATTAACATATATCTGAAAATAGCCTTGCCTTCAAGATTACATTCCTCGAGGCAAGGACAGTAATCAGTATATCTGGTACATTAGAATGTATGCCCAGAGCGTAGTTTGGAAGTACTGTATGTATGAAGATGTATTTTAATAAATACCCAAGTATGACTTAAACCAGGAAAGCCAATACTTGGGTCATGTTACGTATCTTCTCTCTGTCAACATTCATCATACTTCCAATTATAGTACCTTAAAATAATTTTGTCTGTAAGCATGAGAATTGCAGTGACATTCATAGGGATCAGCAGCCTTGCTGTTAATGAGTGTAAACTATTACTCTTTGCCACTGGGGGTACAGAGTATCCCTTCTCATCTGTTAATGAAATACATGCACAGAGGAGTTGAGAAGAAAGAGAGCCACCATTTTAATACCTGATCAGTCACTTCACATGTACCCTGTGGGAGTACCATTTAGTTTCAAGTTTTCCAGCAAGTATTGGGATCGCTAAATCGATTTTTTCATCTATCTGACAGTGTACGTTTAATGTATTGTGTGGGAGGGCTGTTTCCGCACCAGCCACTCTGGGTGACTAATTCTGTTTCATAAACCACTGCAGTTTTCAAATAGTAACAACTCGTCTTATTGTTTCTTTGATTTAGTTCTTAAGTGTTAAAGTGTAATAGCATTAAATTCAGGAAATGGATTTTTAATTAGTGTTTAAATAAGCTGGCATTCTTGGTGTACATTCATTCGTGTTGTGCACAATTCCTGGGATAATAAAAATTTTTAAAGTAGCTCTAAAATGGTACCTGGTCATCTCTGGTCCCTGACTGCTGTCCACGTGTGTGTGCACGGACAGGTGGGTATCTGGTGTCAGGAGCCCCAGAGTTCCCATCAGGAGGCTTCTGGCTGGTTGTTGACTTGGGGCCAGTCATTTGAGTTTTCCATCTTAATTCACCTCTCAAGGTGAAGTGGCCCTACATGAAGTTCGCCATCTTTTTTGACCTGCATTCCTAAGTGACCCAGCATAGGGAAGACCTGTTAAGTTTTCACTCTTACAGTTTTTACCTCTTCTCATACTCATGGAATGCTATGGAATCTTCTAAAATGTATACGACAGATGATGGTCGTCAAAACGCTGTGTGTGGTGGCAGTGAGGAAAAGTGAACACTCCATGTGCAGACTGTCCTAATAAGCACTCTTGGCACAGTGACCCTCACATGGCAGCAGGTCCCCAACTCATGTTCCTCTCTTGTGATTCATGGCATCCAGTTGTGCTGTGTGCCCTTGCCCCCTTGCAGCCAGTGAGCTTGTGGACTAAATCAGGACTTCCGCTTCCTTCTAGGTATCATTTATCACTGTGACCTCACCAAAGAGGAGCTGGAGCCACGAGTCTTCCGAGAGGTTACCGTGAAAGGGATCGATGCTTCCGATTACCAGACAGTCCAGGTATGGAGCATTTGATCCTGATAACATGAGAGTTAGAAAAATCTGACTGTCAGACCAGGCCATTCACACCCTAGTTCATCAGGAGCCATGGAGGTAATCCATAGTAATATAGACAACAGCTCTTGGAGCTCCTGCTCTCTCTGGGCATTGAGCCAGCACAGTCCCTTCCTCCTAGAGCTCGTGGGCTCTGCTCCCGTAGCTGCTGCTCTCAACAAGATGAGCCAGGGTCCTCATCTTACTGCAGTAGCTATCACAGCAACACCACTTGTCTGCTTGCTTGAGAGTGGGTTACAGTTCAGCTCAGGTCTTGTGGTGTCACAAGTAACAACATAGATTTGTTGCACATAAAGTACTCAAGTGCTACGAGTCAGTCTTTTCCGTCTGGCATTCACATGTATTTCCACTGGCACAGAGGAGACACTTCCTAAGAATTAGAATGAACATATTAACTGATTTGTCAGTCTCTGACCACCCATCCTTTCAGGTTAAGAATCTCTGTTTCTGTTTTTTCAGCTCCCCAAAGGCATTGAGTCTTCCAGAAACTGATGACTTATTAATTGAGGATGTAGAATGTCACTGTTCCTTTGCAGTGAGAGGTCGGTCACCTGTCAGGTAGCAGGTGTGTATCAGGGCTCTCCCACTGGAGGGCTGGATCACACAGGCCACAGATTAGGAATCAGAACACTGTTTGTTAAGGAAGTTTAGAACAAAGAGCTGGACGCTCCCGAGAATGTTTCTGTGAAACTCGGGCATTATTTTAGCTCCTTGAGTTACCCTTCAACTATCTAGAAACGGTCTAGATGATGGCCTAGATCTAGATCATAAACGAATAAAGCATTGTGTACAAAAACCCATGGTGAGGTGGACCTGGTCCAGGGCTGCAGTGTGTCGACCCTCATTCTAGAACAGGAGTTGGCAGACTGGCCTCTGGTTTTATGGGAGAATAGCCATGCTCATTTGTTTACGTAGTGTCGATGGCTGTCTTGGTGCATTAACGGGTGGGGGGGGGGGGGGGGGGGTGTGCAACAGGGATTCTATGGCCCACAAAGTGTAAAATACTTACCATTTGTCCCTCTGAGAAAGAGTTTGCTGGTCCCTGGTCTATGGTAAAAAGCACTTATAAAATCAGAATGTTCCCAGTAGATGCTCAGGTCCTTTGTCATGAAGCTCTGTCAGGCCTGAAATGTGCATATACTCGTTGGGTGACATTGGGTGAGTCACTTAACCTTTCTGCCACAATTTTTTTTTAGCTGTAGAATAGGGATGATATCTCTCTTACAGGATTCCTATAGGATTATTTGAGATGATGTATATTAAGTGTCTGGCACATAGACTATAAATTGATTTTTTTCAATCAATATTAGAAATAAATATAACAGACTGTTAGTCTTCTGTATCTATTTTGGCTTGCTGCTTCTTTCATTTTCAAGGTGAGCCGTTGCCTGGGGAGATATCCTGTGGGAGCCAGTAGCCCGTCTAGCACTTACATGGTTCGCTAATTCACCCTAGTCCTGTATTAGACTTTAAAAATCATTTTTAAGCTGCCGTTCTTTGCTGTTATCCCTTTTCTCCACGTCTAGAGTGTTTGCTCCTATCAAATGTAACATTTGACCTCCCCAGGGCCTATGTCTAGTCTTTGCCTCAGTGTCCCCGGGGCCAGGGTGTGCGCACGCACCAATGCACACCATTGCCTCTCCTATCAGTAATGCCAGGGATGCCCGAGTGGCCCCCAGTGACCATCACTCCTCTGCCCCCAGGGGTGCAGCCGTGGCTGCCCTAGAATTTGTTCAGTCACCCAAGACAAGCCCCTTGTCTTCTCATCGCTACTATGCAGCCCTGCAGCTCTCTATTAAAAAATGACACATTATTCTCCTCTCTTTTCCAGCCTCTCACAAATAATTAGTGCTCAAATATGTGGTTGTCTTTGGAGTTTGGGTGAGGGTGAGGCACCTGTAATAACGGCAGCTGCCAGGGAGGCGGCTTCTTACAGAGAAGTAACACTCTTCTTACAGTGAGGATGGTTGGGGTTGTTTCTTCTGTCAAGTAGCTGTTCTTTTCCGTGCTGGTAATAGTAACATTCTCTATAGGGGATACACAAGAAGCTGGTTATCACCTATTATGTATTGTTTTCATTTAGAAGTGAAAAGATAAAACTTTACAATTAAGCAAATGCTTGGTTGGAGTAGAAATCTCTCAGCCAGGTACATAGCCTGACAGTCCCACATTTAACTGGGGAAGAGATGTGCTTGGGTGATGCTGGTTGCTTGTATCATTGGAAAACTGAACTCTTTGCCTCACAAAGAAAACTTCCCTGATGTTGAGCTACTCAAAAACAACCTTTTGTTTCTACTGCTGCAGTATAGGAAGGAAAAAAAGATGGTAAGTATTTTAAGACAGTAACTGGATAGGGAGCCTGGGTGGCTCAGTCAGTTAAGCGTCCAACTCTTGATTTCAGCTCAGGTCAGGATCTCATGGTTCATGAGTTCAAGCCCCGAGTTGGGCTCTGCACTGAGAGTGCAGAGCCTGTGTGAGATCTCTGTCTCTGTCTCTCTCTGCCCTCCCCCACTTATGCGTGGGCTCTCTCTCTCAAAATAAATAAATAAACTTGAAAAACAAAAAAAGGGTGGTAACTGGACAGAACACATTACATTACAGATCTTGATGCACTGTTCCTTATTCCCATATTTTAGAGAGTAGAGATGTGTCTGTGGGCCGAATATATGTATAATGCCAATAGGAGATTTTATATCTATTGATTATACTCATCAGACATATTGCATTGAGTTAGCAAAATAGAATTCTTTCATCATTTAGGGGTGCCTTTGAAATGCCCTTTGATGTCACAAAACCATAGACTCGTATCATTTTAAAATCCATTGTGCAGTGGTTTAGATTCAAGTGTATCAGCAGAGCTTTGACATGAAATGGGAGCGTGACAGATGTTCTCACACTGTGATTAGGCTCTCAGTGGTGTTGCCAACAATGACCCACCGTTGTAAAAGCAGGCCCTAGAGGGGGATTTGTACATGAATGGAAAACATCCTGATGGGGTGTAATAAAAACCACAGCATTTTGAAGAAAAAAAAAATCTTTTTGTTTTCAGTCACTTTAGGGTGATGTCACTTTTGATTCCTCTTGAGTCTACTGTTTGTATTTATTCCATACGTGATTTTAAAAGCTCCCCTGGGCTGTTTGTTGTTCCTTCTTATATTCTGTGAGGTATGTTATGGTTTGGAGCATGTACTGTGGCACAGATTATGCTGCATGGTTGGTCCATGCAATTAACAGTGGTCATGACTCTGCCCATGTACCTGGTGGTAGAGCTGGTGAGATAGACCAAGCCTAGGAAAAAGGAAGGGTCAAAGACACACATGGCTATATAACCCACAGAGGACGATTCGTGTTTGCTATATATTTACTCAGGACCCATCTTGAATTTGGACAGGGAGTGGGGTTGACCATATGGTGTCGTATTTTGCTAACAGACATAGAACAAAGCTGCTGTCTGTTACAGCCTTTATCCGTTTCTGACTACAGCTGTGCGTAGAAAATTGATGTGTATCAGAAATATAATTTTGAAAATCAGATCCTGGAAAAACTGTTTCTCTTCCAGTTGGGGGTACACGTAAAAATTTAGTTTTAGATAGATTTATCAAATCTGCAATTGACTAATCTTGAATTTTTCTTTCTTTCTTTTTTTTTTTTTTTTATTGTGAATGCCACATCCACATAATATTGATTAGAACCTCTGTGCCCATATCTTTAAAAAAAAAAAGTTGAAATACTGAACATTAGAAATTACATTTATAACGGGCCTCTGGGTGGCTCAGTCCGACTTTGGCTCAGGTCATGATCTTGAGGTTTGTGAGTTTGAGCCCCACGTCAGGCTCTGTGCTGACAGCTCAGAGCCCGGAGCCTGCTTCGGATTCTGTGTCTCCCTCTCTCTGCCCCTCATCTGCTCAGACTCTGTCTCTTTCTCTCTCAAAAATAAAAGTAAAAACATTTTTTAAAAATTACATTTATAAAATAAGTTTGGTGATCAGTGATTTGCATGAAAAAATCTGTCTACATTTATAATCAGCCATGTGTTTCACTTTAAACAAAAGTGAGGTAATAGGGAGGTGGTAGTTAAATTTAGTCTGTCAGCAAGTATGACATGACCTTCAATGCTGGTGGTACTGTTTGAATACAGAAAATTTCTAGACACAAGGCATTGTCCCAGGAAATTTACAGTCAGACTGTAACTCAATGGAGAGTTGAGACACACAGATCTGAAAGGTCAGACACCTTCTCTCAGTGAGCAAGGGGAAGGTGCAGCCTTCAGCCAGTGCTGCAGTGTTAAAGACCACCCTGGCTGGGCAGAGAAGGATGTCTTCAGGGGAGGGGTGGAAATTGGGTAGGGCTTTGAAGGATGGGTGCTTCCGTGATTCCCAGTTCCCCAGGACACTCCTGACCAGTTTTCCACCACCCTCATTCAGACACTGCCTCTGCCTTTTTGTTGCAGGTTACTTTCATAATTTTACAGCAAATTAAAGAAGGAAATCATGCTCTCAGTATCCTGTGCAGTGAGGTTGCCTTTTGTCACCTGTGGATGAAATAGTGTTTGCCCTGTGGTTGAACGTGGCATGATACGTAGTGTAGCAAGATGCACCTTTTGGTTTCTCAGTATCTCATTTTTGCCCAGCCAGCTGAGAGATTGGCCTTTTTCCTCCCCAAATAAAAGACAAAATTTATAGACCTGAAAAAGAACAGTGAACTGAGTGTACTGTGAATAAGCTCCATTATCAACAGTTTCTGCATTTCATAAAAGACAAAAAATTGGAAGGAAGGTCCAATTTTATGGGTGAAAGCAAACAATATAGTAGGAAAATAGTAAGAATTCTAAGTATTTAACAGATTGAATTATCTTACTTCCTGTTGTCTGGTGCTTAGTAGGGACTTTTCTGAGGTTTACCTGAAGTAATGCATATGAAACATCAGGAACATCCCAAAGGTGATTT